TGAGCAAAGGGTAAAGGACTTGGAAAATCAATTAAGGGAGGCTCAAATTGCCCTCATCAACCACGGTTGTTGCCCAAGTTGCAAAGGCCGTGGGAATAATCAAGATAAGAGGAGCTATTTTCAATCGACCAGGAAGCACAGTGTCCATGAAAGGTTGAGTTATCAGCCTAAACAGAGTCCTGAAGAAGTTAATCGACCAATATTCAAAGAAAACGGGCCAAGGGCAGTAAGAATCATTCGATCAGAAAGATCTGTGGCCGATAGAGTTCTACCAGAGCAACATTCTTATCCTAGCTTCAAAAGGAAACCAGTAATTCAGTCAGAAATATGGGTTCAAAAGGGGAAAGAATCTAGCCGTGTAAGAACGGTCAGACCTCCTTTGGTTGACCATGGCAGATGGACTCGAGTGAATCATCCGAAGTTTTCTAAGCAGCCTCTTACACGTACTCAAAAAAGGAGGATGCAAAGGAAGAATGCAGAACTTAGAAGAAAAGAGGTTAAGATTGATCAGGTTCAACCAGCCAAGGAAGATGAACCAGGGGTGGCTAAAGACATGGAGGTTGCTATATCTTTTGGGAATGAGGCATCCTCTTATGAGGAGAAAGACGATCATGAAGATCAAGATCCAAAGCATGCGGCCAAGTACATAATTCGTTTTGGTTCCCTTCCGAATGAGGTAAATTGTAACACGGTATTTGTTTTACCTTATATTTTTGAAGCAAGGACAGAGCCAATGATGATCAGGTATGTTAAATCAGCCAAACTTGAAGAGGAGGCTGAATCATCAGAAATTAAGAATGACTCGAAGAATTCATTGGCCGGGGTAGGATTAGTCTCTCAAGGCCAACCAACTAAGACCGATAAAATCATCTTTGAGAAACCACTTCTAGCCATGACACAACAGTTGAGGCCGTTGTATGTTAAAGTATGGGTTGAAGGTCAGCCAATTAATAGGGTGTTGGTTGACAATGGTTTAGTGGTAAATGTCATTCCAGCAACTACTTTGAAGAAATTGGGTGAAACCATGGATGATGTGGTGCCAACCGACATGGCCATCAGTGGTTTGAATGGAGGATCTAGTAATACCAAAGGTATTCTGCCTTTGGAAATTACAATTGGTGGCAAAACATCCTTCACGGCCTTCTTTATCATTGACTCAACCTCGGCCTATAATCTCCTTTTAGGCCGAGATTGGATTCACCCTAATATGTGTATCCCATCAACATTGCACTAAATGTTGATTTTTTGGGATGGAAATGAGGAAAAAATTGTTGAGGCCGATAATAAACCCTTTATAGCCAGGGTGTATTCAGCCGGAGCTGCACTTTATGATGAAATTGTTGTACCTATCAAATTTGTTGGCACTAACAGGATGGGTCGACCAGCAGCAGTAACAATGAAGAAAAACCTAGTAAGTACTAATATTGAAGAACTATTGACAAAAGTAGTTCGGCCGAAAATTGATATTTTTAGGTCGACCATCAAAGAAATTGAAGACATTTCTGATAGATCACACAAATAACGAAGAAAAGAAGCGGCAAGCTTTTAGGGCCGCTTGCATAAGACTGGAAGTATATCTGGCTTAAAAGAGATTGGCCAGAGAAGAACAGTTATATGACGAGGTATCAGCCAACACGGCCGATATAGTTGAAGAAGGTTTTGAAAAGTTGGATGCAATCTAAATTGAGGATTTGGAGTCAACCCCTTCCAGGATAGAAGATAATAAAGCTGAAGTTTAAGATCCTTTATTTGAAATTAATGTCGGTACTGAAAAAGATCATCGGCCATTATTTGTTAGTGCTTTGCTTGAGCCTAATTTCCAGGCTGATTTGATCAAATTATTAAAGGAATATAATGATTGTTTTGATTGGAGTTATGAAGAGATGCCTGGCCTATAACGGGAGTTGGTAGAACACAGATTGCCTATCAAAAAAGATTTTCAGCCTTATAAACAACCACTAAGGAGGATGTCCTTGGAAGTGATGCTCAAAATTAAGGAAGAAATTGAAAGATTTCTTAAGGCAGGATTTATTCGAACGATCAGGTATGTTGAATGGTTATCTAATGTTGTTCCTGTAATAAAGAAGAATGTTTGTGTGGATTTTAGCAATTTAAATAATGCCACTCCAAAAGATGAATATCCAATGCCAGTGGTCAATCAACTTATTGATTCGGCTGCTAAGCATGAAATATTGTCCTTTATGGACGACCATTCAGGATATAATCAAATCTATATAGCCAAAGAAGTTATTCCCAAAACGGCTTTTAGATGTCCTGGGTCAATTGGTACTTTTGAGTGGGTTGTAATGCCATTCGGCCTAAAGAATGCAGGGGCTACTTATCAAAGGGCAATGAATTCAATCTTCCATGATATGATTGACCGATTTATAGAAGTTTACATAGATGATGTAGTTATGAAATCATCGGCCAAAAAACAACATTTGGAACACTTTAAAAAGGCCTTTGAAAGGATGAGAGTCCATAAGTTGAAAATGAACCCATTGAAGTGTACTTTTGGGTATCAGCTGGGAATTTCTTGGGATTTTTGGTACACAAACGAGGTATAGAAGTTGATCAGAATAAGGCCAAAGTTGTTATAAATGCTATGGCTTCAACCAACAAAAAACAGGTGCAAAGGTTTCTCGGCCAGGTAGATTTTCTTAGAAGGTTTATTTCTAATCATGCTGGCCGAGTACTGCTTTTTCTCCTTTATTAAAATTGAAGTCACATGAGAAATTCCATTGGGATGAATCCCATCAGAAGGCTTTTGACAAAATAAAAGAGTATTTGGCAAACCCCCCCGATAGTGATGCCTCCAAGGAAGAAATGGCCGTTGAAGCTTTATCTATCGACCGCGGAAGAATCAATTGGTAGCATGCTTACTCAGAATAATGAACTTGGGAAGGAACATGCTGTTTACTATTTAAGCAGAGTACTAACTGATGTTGAATGCAGATATTCTTCAATTGAGAAACTTTGTTTATCTTTACATTATTCAGTCATGAAATTAAGAATATATATGCGGCCGGTTGATGTTTATATTCTTTGTCAAACTAACGTGATTAAATATATGCTATCAAGGCCATTGATCACTGGCCGAATAGGTAAGTAGGCATTGGCCTTGATGGAATTTAAATTTATCTTTGTCCCACAAAAATCAGTTAAAGGAAGGGTCCTGGCTGATTTCTTGGCCGATCATCCTTCAACTGATATTGATCCACAGGTTTATGATGAGTTAGAATCATCAGCCATATTCCTAACTCCTTGGATATTGATGTTCGATGGATCAAGCACGACTGATGGAGTAGGAACAGGTATTATTATTATTATCTCACTAGCTTGAAGAAAGACTTCATTTTTATTTTTCTTAGATTTTAAATATTCAAATAATCAGGTCGAATATGAAGCACTTATAATCGGCCTACAAATTCTAATTGAAATGGCTGTTGGCGATGTTAAAATTTAGGGAGATTCAAACTTGGTACTTAGTCAAATTATTGAAGATTTCAAATGTTTAAGTTGGCAATTTAGGCCGTTTCATTCTCTGGCCACATCATTGTTGAATCAATTTAATACTGGTCAACTTAAGTTCTGGCCGAGGGGGCAGAATAAGGAGGCCAATAACATGGCCCAAGCAGCCTCTGGAATCAGGTACCAATTGGAATGGAGATCAGTTGATAAAAATAACACGAAGATCATTGCCTTCGGCTGAATTAAGAAATACTATGTTCGCCGATTCCTGGGTAATTGATATAGAAGATCTGGCCGATGATGATTGGAGGATACCATTCATAATGTTTCTTCGAAATCCAAACATCAAGGCTGATAGAAGTATCAAAAGAAGAGCAATCAACTTTCTACTTCTTGATGGGGATCTATACAGAAAAGGCCTTGAAGATGGACTCCTACTACAATGCATAATTAAAGAAGAGTCACTTCAAGTTATAGTCGAGGTACATGAAGGTAGCTGTGGAGCCCACCAAGTAGGAATTAAAATAAGATGACTGATTCGAAGGTATGGATACTATTAGCTAAGAATGAGAAAAGATTGCATAGATTATGCAAAAGGATGTCAGACCTGTCAAAAACATGGGCCGATTCAAAATGTATTAGCAAAAGAATTACAGCCAATAATCAAATTATGGCCGTTCAGAGGTTGGGGCCTTGACCTCATTGGTAAAGTGAATCCACCATCAAGCGAAGGCCATCACTGGGTGATTGTTGCCACGGATTATTTTACTAAATGGGTTGAGGCCAAAGCTTGTAAAATGGTTGATCAACAAACAAACAGTGATTAACTTCATGGAACAACATATTGTCCACAGATTTGGAATCCCAGAAACACTTGTTTCAGATAATGCAACAGTGTTTAGGGCAGTTGATGTGCTACAATTCAGCCACAATATGAACATCCATATGTCAGTACCATACTATGCCCAAGCAAATGGTCAGGCTGAGTCCTCAAACAAAATTTTGATAGAGATCATTGAAAAAATGATTAAAGATAAACCAAGAAGATGGCATGAGACTTTATCAGAGGCTCTATGGGCCTATAGAAATTAAAAACAGAACAGGCACAGGAATCACACCATATATGTTAACTTAAGGATATGATGTTGTTTTGCCTATGGAAATGAAGGTTAAATCGGCAATAATCTAACTCCGGCTGATTACACTCAAGCAATGTTAATAGAGTTGGAAGACTGGATGAAGTCAGGTTGGATGCTTTGGATCACATCATAGCTCACAAAAAGAAAGTAATGAGGATCTACAACAAAAGGGTAAAACTAAAGTCTTTTGCTGAAGAGGATTTAGTGTGGAAAGTTGTTCTGCCAGTGGGTAAGGTTGACAGAAAATATAGGAAGTGGTCCCATAAATGGGAAGGGCCATACTTAGTTCATCAAGTCCTAAGTGGAAGAGCATACAGGTTGAAGTATCTTAGTGGCCGATTGCATGATTACCCTATTAATGGCAAGTACCTCAAGAGGTATATGCTAGCGATCTTTGAAAGGGAAAATTAGAGTCAGCCAGTACCTTTGGTTGACCAAGTGTACCTTTATGTAATAAATTCGGCTTATTTAATAGGCTGATTTAGTTGTTTGAATTTTAATTAAAAAAAAAAAAAAATTGTTGAAATATTGGATTTTTTGTAATAAAAAAGGCCATTCATTATTGAAGTGTAAAGGTTACATCATTTGAGTGCACACACTGAAAATGGCCACAAAAAAGGCGTCCCACTAAAAAAGATTTACATATTTGCAAATTTCTCCTTGAAATCGGCCCAAATCACTAAGAACCGATTAAAAGCAACCATAGCCCGTCTCTTTGATTCTTCTAGTCTAGGTAATTCTTCACAAAGACTGGCATGCTTGTGAGCAAGGTCTTGAGCTTCAAACTGCAATGTGGCAGTCTCGGCAGACAAGATGGCCTTAAGAACATGAATCTGGTCGATCTCTTTTTGAAGGACTTTCTCTCTTTCCTCAAGGCTGATGAATTCTATGTTCACTCGGTCAAAGGTGGAAGCTTAAGTTAACAACTGGTTACCAAGAGTTTCCTTCCTGCTCTTGCTTTGTTGAATTAATTGATCGATTCATTGGCTTGAAAAATCTCATCAGCTAAAGCTGGTAATTGACCTTTGAAAGTAGCAATGGTGGCTTACAGGTCGACTGGGAAGTCTGGATACTAGCTGAGTGTAGTAAGGACAGCCGTGAGCTCACTTTCAAACTTAGGAAGATCAGCAACATCTCTTTGCAAGATTTCAACCAAAGTTCTTTTGGTTTCTTCCATGGTTTGTATTGGAACACTGGCTGATAACTGGAGTCGCTCCTGAAGATTCACTTTCTCTTTCCTCTGTCACTGAAGCCACCACATCTTTGAAGAAATTACTCAAGGCCAGAAGGGAAGAAGCAAGAGCTTTTGGTAGAGGAAAAGAAGGAATAGCTTAAGTTTCTTCATGTACAACTTGTCAATATAGAAAAAGGTTAGAAGTTTAATTTTTAAAGTATGAAAAAAATTACAGGTATGAGATAGTCAATACTTTGGATGATTTGGCCATAGTTGCATCCAAATGTGATTGATGGCTGACTACTGGTGGAAGAAACTCTGGCTGAAGAGCTGTGCTGTCTCCTTGAGATGAAGCTTTGGCCAGAGTGACTTGAAAATTTAAGGGTACCTCAATGGGTTCATGAAAATCCTTCAAAGGACTAAAATTCCTAACTGGCCTATAGACCAAGTCAAGAAGCGGAGATTGCTGCAAAAGAGAAATCAATGATGTTACCAAAAGTGATGAGGTTAAAAGCTTAGGTAAAAGTTATCATTACCTCTTTTTCCTCTGAGGAATGATCAGAAGGATCATCAGTAACATTAATTATGGGGTCACGGCCAGTTCAATCACCGGATCATCAGTTACGTCTTCTGTAGGCTGAAGGCTTCCTGGATCTTTCTCTACCTCATGTTTCTTACTCTTACTGAATTTTGTCCTCTTTAGAGTCACATGAGCAGTTGATTTCTTTCTTTTTCCCTGAAGAAGGAAATTTTATTAAAGATTGTCTCGGCCGATAATAGTTATGGCCGAGAATTAGGTATCAATATTGGCTAAGTATTTGAGTAATACAGCCGATATGCTTATCTTCGTATACTAATAAGTATAAACTTTTACCTTGCCTATAACTGGAGGGCTGGAGGAACATCAAGGATGATGGCTGATTCAGTTGCTGCAGGCTAAGGAGGGTGACTGGAGGAAATTTCATCATCTTGAGGCTCAATGTTCTCTGGATTAAGGGAGGCTGACAAAGTTTCATCATCTGGATCTGCAAAAGGGTAAGAGAATTTAGCTTAAAACTTTTAAATATATATGTATGAAAATAAAAGAGGAATATACCTTTGAGAAGGCTGGCTGTGGCCTTAGCCTTAGCTTTTTTCTCTTTATTTATCCTTGTTGGAGCATCTGTTGGCTGAGAAAAAGGAAGTTTTTTTGATCGTTTGTTTCTTGCCTTTGGGAGGATCTTTTTGAGGTACTTTCTTTGGGGTAACAGCCCGAGTAATTATAAATGCCCCTTCAAAGGCCACAAATATGAATTTAAATGATTCCAAGATTTTAATGACAAGGGACTGGCACTCAGCCATCTTAGTGGAAGTAATGTAGGAAGACTACCATTGGTCAAAACTGGAATCTGAGGCTGGATTCTTGATGAAAGGTTGGAGAATCCAGCTTGCAAACTAGAAAACCGAGAGGATACATTCTTAACAAAAGAGTCATCCGGAAATACTACACACTGATTGAAATTTTTGTTAAAGGAAAGATAAGGAGGCATAGGAATCATTTGGGTCAGGCCGAATTGCCTAGCAAGTTGACTAGAGTTATAAAACTCAACCTTAACCTTTGAATTTACTGTCCCTACAGGACCAGTATAGAAATGAAGATCCCTTGAAATAAGAAAATTGGCCCACATGGCTGAAAGTTCATCAGTAGTTTTTTTTGTAGATATTCCTTGAGGAAGAGTCAGCCATCAAGGGGCTTAAAAACAATGAGAAAGCAAAAGAAATTGACTTATGGTCCTGTGCTCGCAGCCAGAGTAGAAGAAATTAAAACAATCCCCAAATGAGTGAGATTTGGGCACGGCCGATGCATAACTCACAGAAAGGAGTGGATCATTGGCCGATGGCCTTACCACAGGCCTAACTCAGGAAAGTATACTTGTAGCCAAATTTAAAATAGCCAAAGGGGGCCACCATAACGTCCAAAGTTGGAAGTGAGCAAGTCATAAATTCCCCGGTATAAATGGGAAAGCACTGAAGGGGCTAGAGCAAAGGGTTTACCTCTGGAAAGAGCAACGGCCACATGGATGTAATTTTTAGTAACTTGGAAGGCCGGTACACATAGAAGGAACTTGTTCAGCCAGGCCAATAAGAAAGCAATATGCTCGGCATCGTTAATAGGAACACGAGGATCCATGGTAGAAGTTAAATACTTACCATAAGAAGATTCGGAAGATTTGGTTCCAGTTTGCTTAGAAGGGAAAACAAAGGGAGAATCCTCCTCTACCAATAAGCTGCTCACATCAATCCCAAAAGGCTTGAGGCCGGTTAAATAGCATATGTCTTGAATGGTTGGGGCCATCATGCCACACTTCAAGTGTAAGGAGTTAGTGGTGGTCGACCAGTTGAACATAGCCGCTATCATTAAAGCCCTGTCTTGAGCAATATTTGTTTTGCTCAATTGACTGGCATCGTAAATACCACAAGCTTTCCACGTCTCTCCTTTTACAGCCCCAACCCGATCGACCCAATTGATCTAAGCATCATTAGGAACATGCCATGTCCTAAAATGAAAATGTGGCAAACTGCCATTTTCATTTGGAGGAAAAGTTTGAAGAAACGGAAGCACATCAGCCGACGGATAGAATGATGATATGAATGCAGGAGCTTCATCAAGGAAGGCAGGACCTAAACCCTTGAAGTCAGTACGAAGATCTATGAGAGTATTGAGACAATATTTATAAGAACAAAGGGTTTTTAGTGATTTCTCGATGATATTGCCGTGAGTTGAAGAATCTGAAGGTTGTGGGGCCAAGGTAGAATTTATTGACTTGGTTTTCTTAGGAGCCATGAAAGATCGTCAAGGGAAAGAATTTGGGTTGTTAAGACTTGAGAAAGGGAATTTTAGAGATAGCAATTTAAAGGTAAGAAGAAGAATAATTTCAGGGTTGTAAACATGGAGCTAATACTAGTGGAATAAAATAGATATGTCCAATCACCGCTTTAATTGGGAACTGAAAACCATTAAGGCAGGTGGTTGGGTGATGGAAAGAGTTATTGCTAAGAAAAGAAAATTTTTGAAATTTAAGTTTTGGTCGATTAGAATTCCAAAAGCCTCTCATCATAAGCGATAAGGCATTTGAAATTCAGGGGGCATTTCTTGGCACCAAAACTTGGCAGCCACCTCAATGGTGACGTGGACCAGTGATGGGCCGACACGTGTTTAGCATGATTCCAAGGAAAGTCGGCCAACGGAGAGACAAAAGGAGGAAATCTAGGAAATATATTTCAGCCACTTTATTTATAAGTTTGTTGGTGAAAATATATATATATATATATATTGTAACAAGAATTTGAATTAATTCAAAATTGGTTACTGACTGAAAAGGGAATACTAGAGACACGGCTAGAGAGAAATCCCTATGAAGTAAGGATTTAATCGGAGAAGGGATTCCAACAAAGAAAGAACAGTCATATGGATTCAAAAGCTATAAAAGGTTATTTAGGCCATTAAAGGGAAGTACTTCAACCGAGCTTAAGGAAAGAGATTGCTAAAAATTAGTAACTACTCTACCAACTTTTTAGCAATAAATCTGCAATTTGTATTTGACTAAATCAAGGAGAGTCTTCAACAAGAATTTTTTATTAAATTCTAGTGAAGCAAGACGAGGCAAGACATAGAAGATTACTGGGTCGTGACCTAGTTTGAATAAAGCGAAGAAAATCAAGGGAAAGAGGATTTTTAGAGCAATTAGTTAGGGAATTAAGTTAATTAAGACTTCTATAAATAGAAGTGTTGTAAATTCTTTCCAATTTATCCAGCACCAACCACAAATCAGCATAAATCAAAAATTCATCAAATGACTCAACGTCATCTTTATCTTTAATTCATTTGTCCAAATAGCAAATTTCATTCGAAGAAACTAAGTTCCAGTAACTTATTCTCTTTTGCAATGCTTAATTATGCTATTTACAAATTTAATCTTTGTTTTATGCAACGAATTCAAATGACAAATATTTGATCAGATTTATGTCAATTTAATTCGGCTTGTTTTATTCCATTGCACCATCACTTTTCAGTCCATTTCATTTCAGCCATCTTTATTTTAAAGTCAATTTAAATTCAGCCAGTTCATTTAAATTACTTTACTTTTCATCGCATTTTTACTTCTTTTAGCACCTAGATAAAAAGTTCTTGCCATAAACAAGACATAAAAAGAACCTTGCTGGGAGTTCTTACTAGTCTCTCTCCCATACATTCGCCTGAGAGTCAACCATCGGAAAAAGGGATAAGCTGGTGTTCGAATCAATATTTTGAGTGTTTTATACAAATACTCTGGCACGCTCGCAAGAGTCAATCGACCGGCGTAAGACCAAAAAACCGCGCAAACAAACAGGAAACATAACGGTGTGAAGTCAACACCCACGTTATATGGCATAGTGATAAACTTATTACAAGATACCTTCATGCTATATTCCTTCACTAACCACACCTCAAGCAAAGCTGTTGGGTTAAACCAGAGACTCCACATACAAAACTGCTTTTGAAGAACAGGGACAATTAAATTTTTTTGTAAATCTTTCCTTTTAGTATTGTACGATCCTAATTTTATTTGATCATTGTAGCATATATCAATCTTCAGTTGAGGAACGACTAATTCTATTCAAACTGAAAAACCCCTTAATATTGCAACTTTAACTATAATAAAAAAGAAAATGAAAACTTCCCAAAAAAAAAAAGGACAAGAAACAGATGCACAAATTTCCATCAAAATAATCACAGCAAACTCTCTTAGCACAAATAAATGGTCAGACAGTTTAATCATCTCTATCAACTTTTCAATGTATAACTAACATACGTTTTTAGCATACTATTCCCTGGGAAAAAAGAAAAGAAATGAAAAGAAAATCAGCACACTAGTTGCAGATCAGTCTCTAGGCATAATGTCCAACGCAATCAGATTTTTCTTTCAAAGTCTGGCATCCAAGATTCAACATCCATCCATTGCCAGAGAAGGAAGAACAACGAAATGAAAATCAACCAAATCAACATCATCATCTCTGTTTTTTACACATGAATGAGGTCGGCCACATAATGTTACTGCAATTGGCCCTAGCCCTTGGGGCTGCATCAATGTATGTTGTATTATGTGTGTCGTACTACAACTCAGAAATGGTTCTATACTTGTCCTATTTATGCTGCAAACCCTTGTCCCTCCCATCAATGCTGTTGGGTGAAACCAAACTCTCCATATACAAAACTGCTTCAGAAAAATAGGGACAATTATAAATTTTCGTAAATGTATTTTCCTTAGTATTGTATGATCCTAATTTTCTTTGATCAACGTACGGTCCTGATTTTGATTGATCAATCTTCAGTAGAAGTTCACCATTCCTCAAGAAACATAACAGTGTGAAGTCAGTGCCAACGTTACATGGGATAGTGATAAACTTACTCCAAGATGTCTTCACACCATATTCCTTCATCAACCACATCTCAACCAGACCTCCATTGGCACCAGATGAGAATGACACTGCATAGAAACAGTCTTCTAAAACACCCAATCTGTGAAACGGATAATCTGTTCCGCCCTGAATATCTAGGTACATCTCACAAAATACCTCCTTTGATAAATCAAAAGAAACAATAATTATGTGAAGTGGTCTAGAACCAAAGGGTACGGGTAACCCTAGCCAATGAAGAGATTCCATATGTTCAAGAAGATTCCATTACCACACACCACAAAGCAACTATAAGTCAGATCTTGTAGTCTTCTCCAAGAATTGTGTCTAAGACTGAACAGATGGAATCTGATACTTTTAGAGGCAAAAATGTTGTGAGCTGCCATAACGACCTTGTAATCGTCTGAGGAGGAGTCAAAAGCAAACCCATAATAATACTTAATGTTATCATTTTTACAAGAGAGTGGAGGAGTAGTGGGTGGTTCTGTCAATTCCTTGGAGACTCTAGTGGAAGGGTTGTATAAGATAACTTTGATACGATCAACAACATAACTAATCAAGCCATTGCAAGAACCAATTACAGAGACGTGGCTATCTTGCCTCCGCAATGGACAATCCAACTTCACTAATGCATTATTATCAACATTAATATCGTTTTTGTTGTTGATGTCAAGTAATGATTCATAGTTTATTGATTGGGGAGGGAAACTAGAGAAAAATATGTTCTGGCAATTCTTGGAGAGAATTGATCGATTGAGATGTAATTTGACAAAATGGGGATGAGAAATTAAAGAACTTGATTGTTTGGATACACACCTGAATTGCAGAAGAGATTTAACTGGAAGTCTTGAGAGTATGTCCATTTCGATTTCTTCAGGTAGGTTCAGCTCAGCCATTGCGTCCCCAAATCTTCGATTCACGAATTTCAGAAATCACAAACCCTTGAGAGAGTACGTCACTCCTTCAACGGTTGGGACTGAAGTATGAGGGTTCCAGCGGCAGCTGAAGGGGGGGAGAGAGAGCTTATTGTAGAGAGACACAAGAAAACACCCAATAAAATGTGACGGGCTCTTGTTTCGATCACACCCAATTTTAAAATTATAATAATATTTTATTTTGGCTGGACCATTCAACACCTATAATATGCATATAGCTCATATATTTTTTTATAGGTTTTAAAAACTCCTTAATATTTATTGTAAGGAGAAATAAGATCGTCCGCCATTAATGAGGTGATAAAAATATTAAAATATTCTTCTTATAATTAAAAATAAATATAAATAAAAATTCAAATAATGTAAAATTATTATTATATTCTTTATTTTTGAGAATTATATGCAAAAGGGAAGGGCTTTTTGCGAATCAATAAAAGGTAATTTTGGTATTTAATCAGTTATGTGCCAGATACATGTTTTTTAAACGGTGCATTTTTAACGGCAACAACTAAAAAGTCATTCTTTACAACATTTTTAAATTCTTGATGGAGTTACATACCCAAAGTAAAATAAAGGAGTGTTATTTGCTCAAAAAGTAAATCTTAGGGGTGTTTTAGATACTTAGCCCTTTTATTTTTACATATTTCCAACAGCGCCTTTACACTCATCATTTAAATGGATAAAGTGCAATAAACCCCCCTGAACTATAAAGCAATTGCATAAAACCCACCTGAATTAAAAAGTACCCCCTAAATTATTAAAAAGTTGCAATTAAGGACAAGTGAGTCTTCGGCATCGGAAAAATAAGATTACAAAATTACCCTTTAGTGGAATAGCGCCGTTTTGATGCTTGATTACTTGTGATGCTAACATGTCAAACAAAATCTCAAGAACCAATAAAAATTCGCCTGCACATCACCTTTTCACTAACATTTTAGTAAGGCAGACCTGTCCTACCTCGTTTTAGTACCAAAAAGGACCATTGCCGGTGTCAATGAATCTCCATCAACACCGGTGACAAAAGAAAAAAAATCCCACCATTGGTGCAAAGTAAATTGTGTTTGTGTGAGAAGAAATATAAAAGAAAAGGAGGAGGAGGAGGAGGAGGAGGAGGAGATGACCAAGAAGCTTAGTGGACTAGTGATAATGAGTAACAATCACATAGCACCAGCGGCAATGCGCGATAAGGACACCGAACACCTCTAGCAAATAGCGACGATGGGGACGCCGAACACTTCTTTATCCATCCCTCACCAAATAGTCAACTCCGATTCATCTTCATCGTCTCACTCTAACCTTCCATGCTCACACTTCTCATCAAATCATTCCATCTCTCCCATCAAACTGCTGGAATCCTACAAGTTTCACGATTAGTTGAAACCCTAACATCCTCATAACACTGGTTATCTTACAAAGACGAAGAAAACCAAACCAACACACACAGAGAAAAATATTAGGTAAATTATACGGACCTCCCCTATGGTTTGCCATAATTATAAGAACCTCTCCTTTAGTTTGGTAAATTACTCAGACCTCTTCTAAAAAACCAAACATTATAACATGGGCCTCCCTTTTTAACGGTCAATGGTCAGTAAACGCCAAAAGTAGCTGACATTATGAAACTTAATTGATTAAATAGCAAAAATGCCCTTAATAGAATACAATGAACCTTTTAACCTTAATATATATATATATATATATATATATATATATATATATGTATGTATGTATGTATGTATGTATGTATGTATGTATAAACCCAATTCTGTATCAGGACTCTCTCTCCATTTTGTTACTTTTCCCCTACTTTGGGTTTGAATCACTCACACTCGTCGAGATCAACTAAGGACAACACATGGTAGCTCTCAAACTTGAAGTCAACTTCAGATCTATCCAAATATGTGGCATCCCGTTTGCAAAAGTTAGTGTTTGGATATGGTTGATTTAAAGAATTACATACAAGAAACTTTAGTGTATGTGTACATGTATATGTGTAAGAGAGAGACATAATAATAAAAGGTGTTGGATTCAATAATACATACATGTGTGTGTGTTGGGGGGGGGGGGGGTAAAATTTCTCCATTGTATTTATGTCCATATATTTTCCATATAAAATAGAACCCTTAAATCCCTTCATTCAGTTCCATTTTCTTGGAGATATGGAGAAATATTTTTTGCTTCCATGGAAGGGTTATTTAATAGATGGTGGGCCAATGATAGTAAAATTGGATATATACATAAAAAAATATCTCAACGCCAACCTTCTTTGTTTCTTTCCTTTTCTTTTCTTTTTCCTTCCTCAATTTTAAATCAATTTAATCTTGTTATTGGTAGATTCAAAGAACTTAAATTGGGTTTTGATTATAGTGGAAAGAGAAAAGTTTAGAGAGAGAAAGGGAAAGGGAAAAGGAAAGGGAAAGAAAGAGAGAGAGAGACATGAAAGAAATCTCAAAACATAAACTCCATACCTATTTCTTGAAAATCAATTTGATGAACATCCAAAAGGTAATTAATTGAATAGGGGTAGATAAAGATGAATGACCTGGGTTGAATTTAAGATTTCGCTAAAGGGACCATAACTGAGCTTTTGCCTTGAGATTTTATCGCGGATAATATTGTCAAGCTTGTTAATCAAGTTATAGGGTTGTAGTATCCCCTTCCCTTGAGCCACATACCGTTGAACACATTCAAAAAGGAAAGAAAAAAATCAAATTAATAACAAAGCCTAAAAGACCTTGCTTGTCGGCGTCATTCATCGCCGCCGTTGGAACTATTATCCTTTGAAAGCAGGATCAAACCCAGAAACTCATGTTTGAAAGTAAGATTTAACCTAACCCAAGAATCGATGTAGTCCTAATTTAGTCACTAGCGAACAATGTAGGGGTGTGGTAGTGGTCAGCCGGAGGGGGGCGGTTGGTGGTCGGTCGTGGTGGGGGTGGTGGTGGTCGGCCGGTGTAATACTCCTATATTTTAAAGGAATTATTTAATGGCATTAATTACTTTTATTTTATTTTAAATGATTTATTTGATTTAATTGGGTGTTTTGATTAATTGTTTTGTTTTAATTAAATTATATTTCAAAATTTCTTTGATGATTTGATATGTGTTCTTGTTTATTCGAAATAAATTGATTGTGTGTTGTTTTGGCTATGCTTGCATATGTGTTAATTATTTTATAATTAATTGATTAATTGATTATGGTAATTGTTTTATTTATTTATTTAATTTTCAAATTATTGGGTCAAGGAGATTTGGGCCAAATGAGGCGGTCTTGGATTTTAGAAGATGGTCTTAATAGGCCAATGATTATTACGATAATGGATATATGTATATATACACATATATACGAATATTATATATATATATATATATTCATGTATATTTTGTATATATAATATTTTGGGTAGTCTTATTAGGGTAGGATTAGGATGAGTGTGTGTATATATATATACATATTTTGTAGTAGAGGAGAAGATTGCACGTGAGAAAAGAATAAAGAAAACAAGGGGTGGCTGAGAGAGAGAAAGAGAAGAAAGGAAGAGAAGGAGAAGGGTGGGCCGAACCAAGGAAGATGAAAGAGAGGCTGGACAGGTGGAGAACGACGATAGCGACTTCAAGTCTGCCGGAGTTGCAATACAAGATTGGAAAAGCTTGCGGCGCGTCGGTTTCATTTCGAAACCTTCAGGCGAGTTCTTTCTCTAACTCTCCTTTTAGAACCCATAAGTTCTATACCTTGGGTATCATAATCTTATAATTAAATCTGTATGTAAATCACATAGACTTAGGTTAATAGCATGCAATCGTAGTTGCATGTTCGTGTATATATATATGTATAGGTGTTTATATATATATATGTATGTGTGTATAAGATTAGTTGAATATGCAATTTGAATTATTTGATCTTCAATTTTAATGGCTTAAAACATGTATATAAGTTAGTATTGATGTATGAAAAATTAATTGGGACCTAGACACATGATATAAGACCCGAATGACGAATTTCAGATTAAAAAATGGATCTATATAGCTAGTTCTGGGAATTAGCACTCAAGCGCTGTTAAACAAGGTTCGAGCATTGTTCTAGGCTTAAGCACTATTGGTTAGGGCTCGTGCCCTGGACCTGTTTTACTCCAAAAATGTTCCGAAAGGCCTCGATGTGATCTTTAAAGGTCCAGTAAGTGTTTTAAAGCGTCGGGATCAGTGTTTATGATGTAGTTACGTGAGATTGGTTTTAAACTCCTATGTTTCGAGATTTATATGGAAAGATTTAATCATAATTATGTTTGAAATCTTGGTATGTGGTATAAGTATGTGTTAAATGATTATTTAGTTTATATATGATATTTATCATGTTCTTGCATGCTGTAAATAGAAGGAAATCATAGTAGGCTGTGTTTTATATTTTATTCTTGCATAAAAACGCATATGATGCCTACTTGTATGATTTATGGTGTATTTAATTTTAATGATGACGTGTGGTTTATTCGGAGGCATAGAGAAGTTGCTAAAGGCATAAATATACTGCCTTATAAATTGTATGAATATAAGATATACAATGGAAGCATGGATGATATGCTATTTTGTAAGTGTGGATATAAATATAGTTAAGGAGGCAGGGAGGAGTTACCAAGGCATTAATATAACGCTATGTAATTTAGATGATTAGATAATTGTCTATGGGTATTACGTTTGTGGCTTAGGGGAAGTAAATAATCTTATGTTTGAATGAAATATTATTTTTTGGCTAATAAGTCAATATATTATATTTATGGGTTGAGGAAGTTAGTTTCCAAAGAGGATAGTTATCTAGTGTTGTATACAGAGTCTATATACACACACACACACACACACACACACATACACACACACACACACACACACACACACACACTATTATCTATGGATGGGATCCTAGATTTATTAGATTTCTTGTTGATACCATGT